ACTTTTTTAATGTAATAATAATATTATTGAATCATTGTATATTTTCTCTCTATATATGGCGCACTCCAACATTATGTATGTTGCACTGCTATAGTTTACGCTAGAGTGGACAAAGCTTGACACCAGTGCCCATTTTTTCTAGTTTCGTCCATGTGGCGGTGTAATCTCTGGATAGGAGTTGCCCCACCCTAGGCTGGACTGATTTACTTTTGCTGCAAAACGATATTTATTTTTAGGCTTGTTGGACATGTTGGTTGTGTGCATCACGCTATGCAGAGGCCGGGCATTCTTCAATGCTGTTGTATCACCTCGATATATCAATTGAATGAAATGGAAAAAAATCTCTCTACCTGCTCGCTCCTGTTTCACCTTTGTTGAACTCTGAATCTCCTCTGCCTACTCGCTCCTCTTTCACCTTTGTTGAACTCTATATTTCAGGATTATCCTCTATATCTTAGCGTGACGCAGAGACATACTTGTATCCTGTTTTTAGGGTAAGACACACTTGTATCTGAATCGATGCCCAGTGTTACATTATCCTGTGCGTCGGATGTTAAACTACAATGACATCCTTTCAGCTGTCAGATGTTTTTTCTTATGTAACTTTTTGTATGTTCAATTAATCAACTTGCGGCTTTGTATACTTGTGAGAACATGAAGTTTGTGTTGTGTACATATTTTGTAAACTACAACGACAGACTAATTAATCAGAAAACCATAGTTAGTCTTGGCTCTAGCACTATCTATGCTGTTAGTTATTGTGGATATATATGTAAATTGATCAATAAATTAAGTCTTTGTGTTGAAATTATAAATCAAATCAAAATAATAATACATTTTGAGGAAAAATTCAAAATAATATTGGAATGTGCAAGATGAACAAACTATGGCAAGATTATCCTCTTTACGTGTGCTAGAGATGTAAGAGGTGTCATGGCACATGCAAACAAATATATATGTAGACTCTCTTCATTTGTTCGTCCGAGCTTCATATCATGAAGTGAAAAAAGGAAAAAACTCGTTGCAAGTCCTATTCTGGCCTGTGCATGCCTTAGGGATGAGTGGCATTGGGAAATATGATTCAACTTGTCTTGATACCTTTATTCTCGAACCTCTATTATGTCAGTATGATGTGCTTCAGTCCTTGATGCATGCTTGCGCAATCACTTTGACTGGTGATGGAATGCCATGGCCACCCTCAATCGTAGATAGTAGCAGGAACTACTGTGGGATACACCATCCTGTATTTTTGCAAACGGATCATGATTATTGTACTGAGATGGAGTGGAATGGTGATCTGATGTTAGTCGGAGAGTAGAAGAAGACCAACTAGAAACAAATTTGGAAAGCTAGAGTAACATGTACCATTAGAGAATTGAGGCTTAGTAAAATAACATGATAGCTCATCAGAAGCATACTGGAATGATAGCTCTTTCCTGTTACATGATCCAAATGTACTAGTCCAATTGCTTGCTAAAGTTTAATTCTCAGATATGTGGGTTACTTTTTTCTTGCATCAAGGGAGAAAATATCAAAAGTTTCTTTGCTATTCAATTTATATGCACATGAACACCCCTCGTGGTGGGAGGTGTGCGAGACTGTTTTTTCTCGGATGTTGGAGCCGGGTAGCGAGCCAAGTGGCGACCCACCAGTGCCGCAGAGCAAGTCCTGGTGACCGGCTGCCTCAGCTGCGAATACATTTGTCCTCTTTACATATATGCTAGATATATGAGTGGTGAGTGGTGACACGACCATGTAACCAAGCCATCAAATATGCAGATTATTTCTTCATCAGCTAGCCGAGACCTACAGGGTCTCCCCTTTTTTTATGGAATCCAAATAAACCTAATCTATGCTTCAACAAAAAGCACGAAAACCCCCATGTGCCGCGGGCGTGGTTGATTTCCCAGCGAGGCACACCGTGTAGGTGCGATTAGCATGAGCAGTCTCCGTTTGGAACTAAAATGCAGCCGCAAGTCAAGTTTGAGTAGTTCTTACAGGTTCATGTACTAAATAAACCCGTGCGCCAAGTCGGATGCAATCGCCTCCAATTAAAATGTTTGGATACAACCAATATCAGACAGTTTATAACAGATATCATTTGTTAACACATTTCATTTCCACTAGAAGCATAGGCATGCTTCGATGCGCCGGTCTTGTTAGCCTCGTTCTGTAAAATTCTTTACATATCCAATCAATTTTTTTTATTGCTAGCATAACTACCCAAGTAACTAACCGTGGCAACTGCTCAAGAATCGCAACAACAAACCGAGCCGCGTTCCACAATTTTTCCGGGTCTTGCTGGTGAGCCCACCACTTGGAGCAACCATGGTTTCCTATTCCAAGCACAAAACCTGGTCTGCTCACACAACAAGCTAGCCAGTCCTGGTCATGGAGAGCTCTGCCCCCTTTATGCCTGGTGTTTCAGTCAAGAAATGCCACCAGCTGCATGAGCTAGATCGAAGAGAGAAGATCCAGTGGAAGGTACCATCTCAGAGCATAAGAAAGAAGGTTTGCGTTTTTGGCTGGCCAAGGGTCAAGACAAAGCAGAAATCGCTTTATTCTCTTGCTCCATGTGGAATCCCAGTATGTAGTTCAACAGCAACAACTCAGTTGAAAAGCTAGCTAGCTAGGTAACCAATGCAAGAACAAAATCGCTTCATATCTGGCATCGAATACGTTGACGTTTTGCTGCTGCGGCGATATGTCTTTGGTGCTTCTCAGCTCTAAAGTTTTTCTTGCGCCGGCAAAAGATACCCGTACTGAAGATCAGGAAAGGCAAGGTTGAGTGACACTTGGAGCAAATTCAAAAGGGAGGACGATTGAGACACCATCCGCAAGGAAAGCAGCTCCTGCTCTAGAATAGTCGATGGGTCTCCGCGGATATGCTACCATAAGATCCATATCCCCAAGCCAACCCCGCGGTATATAAGCGACGCAGAGGCGCATATGTTTCCATCAACAAGCACAAGGACTTCAAAACATAGAGCAAGCATTAGCAAAAAATATAGTTCATAGGAGGCAAAAGAGCGTTGGCCTATATCAAGGCATGGCATATTTGACCGACGTGTGTGAATCACAGGGCGCTTCTCCCCTGGCACGGCGGCATGTATGTACCGTTGAGTGTGCAGTGCAGCTTGCTAGCAAGCCGTGCGTGCCAAAGGAGATTTGCCCTGCCATTCGCCTCAGCTGCTCTCTGAACTCTGATCCAAACGGGTGAGGCATCTAATCGTAGCTGCATGCAGCATGCGTCTCACAACTCACAAGGCAACCCCTAATATGCATGTATGTTCATTTGTCCCTGAGACTAACCATGCTTACGTTTGCCTGTGATGATTAACTTGTGTACTCTACTTGGAGAATGCTGAGTAGCACGGATGTTGTGCGGGGAGAGATCAAATGGGCATTATGCATATAACACAAGAGCTAGATCTCCCATGAAACATCTGAAGTGATGAGCAACGTTTTTTAGCCATGACAGGACGCACAGGGAAATTGAGCATGTCGTGGCGCTCGATTTTCATCCTTACCCTCTCTTTCTTGTGGCTCTCATTTGTCTTCGATGTGCTTGCTCACTCATGACTTGTTGTAAGACGATAAACTTAATCCTGAAGCGTCGTAAGCGTATAATTTTTCATGTAACCTCCACCCCAAGCCCTTTGTGTAGTAGTGAGAAAAGCGAGAAGTCCTTGCTGGATGGAGATACAATGAAAGCTGACGTGCTTTTTTAGAGAGTTTTTACGGTACCCTATACTGCTAACAGGGAAGGGAGCGGTATATTAAAATCCGACCACTGATTTTGTGAGGATAGGATAGCGATAGACATAGATTTCTGCATGAACCTTAGCGATGTCGTCGATCGGAGGATAATGGTGACGGGAAACCAAGACGGGAAGCCCCGCCGCCATGTTCCACGACTCCTCCGCGGTCTCCTTTGACCTCCTGCTCCGGTAGCTGGACGGAGGCACCCCCGAGCCGTCGTCCTCGACCACGACCTCCGCCTCGAGCTCGTCTTATTCGACGCACCCGAGGATCACCACCGGCACCAGCGCTCTCCCTCGCCATCTTTACTGTGTCCCTGGCCATCACGTCGCGTCCATCGAGCCTCAGGGTGGACGCAGCGAGCGGGCTTTTTGGCCCGCTCGTGGCCCGAGGAGGACCGGACCGCTCGGTCCCAGCCCGCTAGCAAAATTGGCCGGTCCGGTCCAGGAAATTAGGCCCGCCCAGCACTCGGTCCGGTCCGGTCTTTGACCGGGACCGCTCGGCGGACCGAGAAAGCGCATTCACCGCCGCCGCCGTGCTTCGTCGTCGTCGCCACCGGCGTCCCCTGAGTGAACCATCATGTCCAGGAGCTTCCCTCACCTTCCTTCCTCTCCTCCCTGTGCCCCATAGCCTCTTTTTTCCGCTTGCCGTCGCTGCCGTGCGTGCACTGAAGCCGTTCGCGAGTTCTCGACCATGCCAGTTCACCGTCCATGGTGTTCGAGCGC